CTGGAGCCAGTTTGCCACCCATGTGACTGTGCATTCATCATCCCTAGAACATGTAGAGTATAATTCCCTAGAACAAGTAGAGTATAATTAAGAACCTACCTAACAACTGCAAATAAATAACTTCTTAAAATGCTACTGAGTAAAACTGGCAGGAAATTTCAGAGGTGTAGTGGACTCATTGCTGCAGGCTCCGTTGTTATTTGTCTTGTACATTATTTTTTTTCTTGTCAATGTATGTAATACCTCTATGGGATTCTTTAGGTAAAAGAAGTAGACACAAGTGGCGAATGGTTCAAAGAGGGAATGAAATTGGAAGCTATAGATCCTTTAAACCTTTCCGCAATATGTGTTGCAACCATTAGAAAGGTAAGAGAACGAATGTACAATCGGAGGGGAGGGGCGGGAAGGTGAGATGAGACATACTTTTAGATAGATTTTTTTTTTCCAAGGGGGGTCAGAAGTGCCTTCTTAATTGAAACAAGACAAAAAAGGATTTAGCTTCTTGTATAGCAAAAGTGACAGCCACTTGCCTTCTGCCCTGAAAAAAAGGATAATTTGTACAGTATGGGAATGCATATAAATGCTTCTGTTAACTGATTACATGTTTCTGATACGCAAGAGATAAGTGCATAATATTTAAAAATACAGCCTTACCTTTAATTGGCAAAGTGTGTTCTTGTGAAACCTTACCACCAAGTCTGTCCTTCAGCTATTTTGCAAGCTGCCTAATTGCCTTCAGAGAGCATGCCCTCCAAACCTTTGCAAAAGTTTAGTATAGGCACCAGTCTTTGAGGACTGCATGTGTAAAATGCTTTTGTGATTGAAAGGGGGTGTCATCAGTGTGAAATCCAAGCAACTTTAAAATGCTTTGGGACTCTTTTATAGTGATAGATCAGCTCCCTAGCATGCACCTCTGCCAATAGCTGTGGCTATGTGGCCAGTACTTTTTTTTCCTCCCATATTGCTATGTGGAAGATGCTCACAATGTAAAAGGGAAGTTGAATTGACATAGGAAAGAGTAAAATTAGGAGTACCTAAAGAGAGTAAAAAAAAAAACCCCACTAATCTCAGTTATAATTTATAATAACTGTATCAGTTAACTGTAATATAGTATAACTATAACTTAATTCACTATACCATATGCAAAAAATCTTGGAGAGAGATTTAATTTCGTATATACTTGTGGCTTGTCACTTGCTTAATTTTTTCACTCTGCTTTTAAAGTGGCATGCTTTAATTTTTAGCCTGACCTTCACATAGTACCAAGGTATTTAATGTACAATTTTGTTTTTCTTTACAAAGGTGTTAGCAGATGGCTATCTTATGATTGGGATTGATGGCTCAGAAGCAGCAGATGGGTCTGACTGGTTTTGTTACCATGCCACCTCCCCTTCTATTTTCCCTGTTGGTTTCTGTGAAATTAACATGATTGAACTAACTCCCCCCAGAGGTACTGATGTCATTTTGACCAAATTCTATTTTGATCTTTCATAGTGGTGTCCTATATGCTTTGTTTCTTAATTCAGTTTGCAAAGTTTGTGTTGTTCTTCAGGGCCTTTATCGCCTCAAATAAGTAATATGGTAATTACTGTAAGTGAGCTGTTTATTGTAGGTTACCTTAGTGGGTAGAGAAGGGTCAAATGAATTTTTAATTGGACCACGGTCAGATAGATTGACATTTGCTTTGACTACACGAAAAATCGACTTGCTAACTTTCGTTACATTCAGCATCAATCAACAGGAAAAAAAGAAATAGAAAAGTATCAGTGCTAGGGAGTCTTGGGCTAGTGGAGGTCTGAACCTGGCATAGAGTGCTTGTCAGTGTTGGCATCACTGCCACAGTGTTGCAGGTTTATTGGTAAGATCCAAGGTATCCTCCTCCTGAAATGTGTACAAACATGCATTTCAACAAGCATGCTCATGAGAGGGGTCATGTACAGTGAACCAGGACAGGCAAATTTCCCAATAAGCAAAACCGCCTGTGTATCAGCATGGATCTTTGCTGCCCTTATCTTTCTGTCATTGCATTGTTTTGTCAACTTATGGAAGGTGATGTTGGTAGTTACATCACAGAAGATCATAGATGTTCTTTGCTTTTTGGTAGGAATTTTTTGTTCTCCATCCATATTTGTGCAGTCTCTAATTTTGTAGGGAAAAAAAAAACACATGCTCTTTCCAAAAGTGAGCTTTTATTAAAAATGAGTGCAGAAATTTTCTGGACATTAATTGTACGGAGAGCTAAACCTGCAATGAAAAAATCATTTCATATTCTTTCTCATTGGCCAACACTTCTGAATCTGTGAGCTTTCAATCTCTGCAGAGTCTACAGCTGAGCAGATTTACTTTTGCTCATGGTAGTTATAGCAGTCTGTGGAGTTACTCAAGAGAATTGTAGAGCTAATCTGACCTAACAAAAACAGAGATAATCCATCCTGCTTTCTTTTAAATGCCCTTCTGTGCCTCTCTCAGCGACTTAGGGGAGTCCTTTAAAGAATTATTAATGATGACAAAAATGATAGTACTGGTAAGAGCAGACTTCTAAACAGAAAGTACGCAAGAGGTAATGAAAAATGTTTCTAGAGGAAACCTGCAGTTTCATTCTTGAGACATTGACTGACTATACAACACATGATGGTCTTCTATTATCACTCCGTACACTGTTGTGTTTCTTGTATGATAACCATTCTCCTCCTTGTATTTCTCTATCTGTATTTTCCCTTTAAAGTATTGTCCATAACAGTTTTGTATCATTCACTGTGCATCTGTATCATTATAAATGATATGCCATTATGTAGAGATCAGGGATATGTATTACTAACACCAGAAATAAGCAGAGTATGTGGAACTATATCATTTTTAATGTGGTGGTCTCTATAATTAACATAATGAAAACCAAGAAGTATGCAGATGCTGACTTCTTGGCTTTTCAACATGTGAATTCTAGAGACCGTCATAAAGAAATCTGCAGACAACAGTTGGTCCATGGGCCATGGTTTGAAAACTGCTGGTCTAACCAGCTGTGGGAGAGGGTAAGTCTGCCTTGTGAACATTCAGTAGATTGAACAAAAGTTAAATATATCATGGAGAGTGCTTCTTCCCCCCTCCCCTCTACAACAGTTTATAAGAATGAAAGAAGGCCTTCAATCTCTTGTTCTTACTATTGTTTTTAGCATTATTATTTAAGTTTTATAAAGATCATTTCAGAGAATGTGTTTTGCCCAGTCTACTCCAAACAAATCAAATTTTTGAAAGATGTTTCTGCTGCAGGAAAATGTAGATGCTTTTACTTTTTTTTCTCCTTGGCTCCATTATATGAAAAAGACTGAAGGTGAGGTAATATTTTTTGAACAACATTGTGATTTGGATGGTGAACAAAATGGTATGAAGACTCAGAGAATAATAACCATCTAAGAAACCTAAAGTGGGAGAGCTGTTACTATAGCATTAAATGAGACATTCTGCATCCTTCACTTGTTCATTTGTCTCAGCTGATATGAGCAAGTTGCATTCTAATGGAGTATCTTGGCCTCTCATCAAACAAAATAGCAAAGTGGAAATTGCTGATGTTAAAATTCATCTTCTTTATCATCTTTTTAGTGTCAGCATTGTGCTAATACACTGTTTTTAAGTGAACAAAGTGTGCAACTGTTGTATGACGGTAATATTTATAATTCACAGGTTATGCAAAACTCCCTTTCAAATGGTTTGACTACCTCAGGGAAATGGACTCTATAGCAGCACCTGTAAAGCTCTTCAATAAGGTAAAGTAAATTATAGACCTGGTACCTTTATGACACACGTGCCATTTATAGCAGATACTGTGCTGTAAATTACAGCCGCCTTACCTCTTGTAGTTTATCAGTAAATATGTTTTTTATATGGCTACTAATCAGTTGTGCAGCCCAGAGACAGTTATTTTTAAAGCCCATGTGAGTAGTACACTTTGAAAATTAACTAGTTAAAAAGGACTATTTCATTCGAAGCAGAAGTCCTTTGTGTGCATTCTGCTCATCTAACTCAGGTTCTGAAAAATATGCAACTTGGAAGCAGATAAGTAATACATTATACTTCATAGATGGTGCCCTGACTGTGCCCTCACCTTATTAATTTTACCATTCAAATAATGCCGCATGAATGTAACTCGAGCAAAATATTTTCTCTGCTGTATTTCGATTTGTATATGAAGATGTCTGCCTTTTGTTTCCTAATATTTGGACATTTTGCTTCATTTGTCTTTCTAGGAAGTTCCAAACCATGGGTTTCACGTTGGAATGAAACTGGAAGCTGTCGATCTTATGGAACCTCGCTTGGTTTGTGTTGCCACAGTCACCCGTATTATCCATCGCTTATTAAGGATACACTTTGATGGCTGGGAAGATGAATATGATCAGTGGGTGGATTGCGAATCCCCTGACCTTTATCCAGTAGGATGGTGTCAGCTAACAGGTTATCAACTTCAGCCTCCAGCACCACAAAGTTAGTTGTGTTGTCTTTGTCCATAGTGGGTCTTTTTTATGTCGAAATCGGGTGGCCAATCCGTCATGCTTACCAAAAGTGGTAGGGGTAGTGTCTGTGTGTGCCATGCGACAGATTGGGGAGGGTATAAGGAGCACAGCAGCTCATAGGGCAGGCAGGAGTGAGCAGAGCGGCAGGGCAGGGAGCAGAAAGCAGAGTGACAGATAAGGCAGGAGAAGGAGGCGATCAGAATAGGGCTTAGGGGAGGGAAGGGTGTTCGTGGCATGCTTACTAAAAAGGTTTGGTCCCCACTGATCCAGAGTTTCACTAGTTGTCCTTTGGAGTTCATATATGATACTTATGTGATACTCACCATACTTTTGGGGTCATATGGCCAGCTGCAGCAAAATGGAAGAATCCTTACAAATAGGCTCCACTCTACTTATACATTTATGCCACAACGTAAATGGGAAGGGTGCTATAGGTGCACCCAATTTAAGATGCCATAAAATGGGAAATAAGCCATAAAAATGTTCCATATATAATACAAAACATTTTTATGGTTGGTTTTTATGGCATCTTAAATTTAATATGTGGCTTGAGCCAGACAATCAGCTGATTATCAGTCTTGGGGCCCAGACCTCACCAGGAGTCTGGTCTGTGGAGCTGCAGAGAAGAAGGGGATTCAAAGGGATTCCACTGCTGGGGACTTTAAACCCTGCACCGGGCCAATCTGGGCTGCAGCACCTGGCTTTGAACTTGCCAGTGGAAGGGGAGCCCAAGATTATTATCCCTGGCTTCATTTACACTGGCAAGTAGTAATGACACATGATTGGGATCTGATCCCCAATCTCAGAATCATGCTTTCTGCCATGTGTGTGTAGGATGGCAGGAGGGGCACGTGTTGGAATCGGGCATCATCATGCCATTAAATGAACATGTGCCAGGGCCTTAGAAAAGCATCATTCTGCTCTATTTTAATCCTTCTGTTTCATTCTGATAAAGTATTTCTTTTGGGTTGCTACACTTTTTTTATTTCCTCTTCTGATACCAACAATTGTTTGCTTCAGTCTATTTAAAATCTAGCTGATTTTTGTCAGGTATAGATAACATTATTTTTTATAGCACCTTGAATTTGCCAGGCATTTTATGGTCATAGGCCCTGAGCCTGCAAACACGTACTTGGGTAGTTTTCCACATTTGAATTCAGTGGAATTGCGCGTGTGTATAATATTACTCGCATGCTCAGTTGTTGGTGTGATGGGGTCTATAGTTCGTTTAAAACTCCCAGACAGCCTGCTTGTGTGATCATACTTAGCTTTTCAGTCTCGTGAACTTTTCAGAGCCTGGAGAGAGAATATGTATAACTGTATATTGTCTTAATGTAGATAGCTTGTGATCTGTATATTTAAATGTTGACAGGTTTTCAGGTAAGGATGAGGAAAAAAAGTATAAGAGATGGAATAGAGCTGGAGTGGTGTAGCTGTGATTCATCTTTTATTGGGTAAACTTTAGTTGGGAGCCATGTTAGACATGCTTTTGGGCACAAAGTGTCCTTCCTTCTGTCAACAGACTCCAATCTGTCATCTAAATCAGAAATTTGATATTCCTCCCCTCCCCCCCTCCTTTAAGTGTGCCATGTGGTTCTGCAGTGTCTTTCTAATGTGACTGTAATATCAAAAGAAAACCTTTTATTACTAGGAAACTTGGTTTGGTGTTTTGCTTCATTCTTCACCTCTTACTCCCGTTAATTAGTTTTCCTTTACCAGTAATTATTTTTTCTCTCTTTTTTTGTTAAATTTATCATTTTGCTTTTTTCTCATAAGTTTTGTTATCCTAATATTTATTCTTGATTTTTTTTTTTTTTCTTCCAGCTTCTGTTTTCTATATCTGGTTTTCAAATGCTGCTTTTTCCATCTCTCTCTTTTTTTTCTTTTTTTTTCCTCCCAACTTTGTTCTTGTCTTCTGTGAAATCAGAGCAGCAACAAAGGACACTCTTTTATTATGTATTATTTGTCCCTGTGCTTTAGTCAGAAAGAGGATTGTAGGTGTGAAAGGCTGAATTGCTCAAAGAAATAGATCTGTAGACCCCAGCAGCTGTTTGCTTTCCTGGACTGCATGATGAGAAATTAGGCAGGAAACATGGTAATAGGGCTAAGGATGTTTCAAAGCCTGTTGGAAAGGGTATAATTCAAGAAGAGTTCCTTCCTCTCCTCTGCTTTGTAAATGGATCCTCCTGTTTGTCATGGGTTCTGCCTTCAGTTATTCACCGAAGAAAATATTGTCCCAGATTATCCTTGCCTTACGATGCTGTGCAGTGTTTTCTCGTAGCACTTGATTCAAAACTTTCATTCTGTGTTTTTCAGCATCAAGAGATAGCCAGTCAAGTTCATCAAAACAGAAGAAAAAGGCTAAGTCACAACAATACAAAGGACACAAGAAAAGTGGGTGACAAAATTAGTGCTGATATAATAATTTTTTATATCTTGGTGTTAAAATTTGCATAGTTATTCTCAAAGTCCCTGCTCTGTTTCAAAATGTTACTTGTTTATATATGCTTAAAGGTGCAGTATGCCTTAAAAGGAGAATTTTTTATTGATTGAGAAACATCTATTTTTTATAACGTGCGGTGTTTTTTAAAAAGTTGATGTTGTTGTTAATTTCTTTGTAAATTATAAATAGACAAGTTAAAATATTTTTATACTCTTAAAACACTTTTAGGTACAGCAGGCTGTACAAGTATGAAGATGTATATTAAGATGATCCTGAGCAAAATATTCAGATATCAGTTAACTAAATGTTGATTCTTTCCTTTTAATTATCTGTAACAAAGCTTTGGATATTGAAAACCACATTCTTTTGAACTAGAAAGAAAACAAATACAGAAAAACTAGTTCTCATTCTTTTCAGTTCCTTTTCAAAACTAAAATTTGTTTCCCATGTTAAATTATATTGATTTTATTTTAATTGATTAGTTTGCCAATTAGAACACAACATAATGCACATAAAACTTATTGGAAGCTTTTTATGAATAAACCCTCTTCTGTGGTGTTACTTACAAAGCTACTCAGCAGCGTTGCTATAGCTAATTATTTTTGTCAGAATATAATATACTATTACCCTTTTTTAAAGAGAGACTATAAGTGAACTGCTGAAATTCTTTCCCCATTAAAAGTTTCTTCCCAGCATCCAATAGTTATTTTTCTTCAAAATGCAAAACAATTCAGTAACAGTTAACCCAGCTGATTTTAACTTACCTAGATGCTTATTCTTTCTCCATCTGTTTGTATGTCTGGTCAACCCAATGAACTGTTTTCCTTTTGCAACTGAAAGGGAGTAAGAGGCAGTCCAACACAGGGGTACTTTGTACCTTCCTCCAATTTCCCACCCTGGAGGTCAGATGCAGGGTGGGCCTTCTCTGAGTAAAATCTCTGGATCCCTTGGAGTAAAAGCTGTGATGTGAATCTAAGACACTTTACAAATGATTAGATCTTGAAAGGTAGCCACCTTTTGGGGTGGAGGGAAGCAACTGAAGGGGACACGGTACGCAGCAAATATATGTGTAAGAAGGAATACTCTGTACCAGGACCCAGGGAAAGTGCATGTACTTGCATACAAGTGCAGTGGAGTCTTTAGTATCCATACAAACCTGACTACCTTGATTTTTTTTGAACTGTTGTCTGAAGAGAACTTGAGAGTTTATCTACCATGTACGAATGACGAGCTTAATGTATCTCCTTGAAATTGAAGGGTCTAATTTACAACAATCTAGCTATTCTGAACCTCGTGCTTTGAAGGACTATTTTATTGCTTCTGTTTGCATTTTTGGGGATTTCTTTAGGAAAAGGTATAGAGGATTTTATCTTTGCTAGCATAATATCCTGACTATATAATTGACAAAAGCAACTGCAAAAAAGGCTAAATGCAGTGGTATCATCTAATCTTCTTGGGGATGCACTACCTGCTGGGCACTTGTGTTAGAAAGTAAGACCCAAGGAGCTGTATGATAACCCTAACATTACACTTGGAGATGCAAGAATGAAAATTTGCAGACAGACTAGGCTTGATTATCTGGCTGAAATACTTGGCTAAATCATTGGGCCTTTACTGCCATTAGAGTTGCTAGTGCACTGGTCATAGTCCTCAGTCCACTTAAGCGCAAAACTAATTAAATTTAAAATTTGGAGCATCTTTACATAATCATACTTCTTTTGGGGGTGGGGAAGTTTGATTCTTCCCTCCCCCATCCTTCCAACAAATTATGAAGCATGCAGAATCTCTAAATCTCAGCTGTACTTTTTTGTAAATATGGGATGAGGAGACCTTACAGACTACAGCTTTGAAGCTGTTTACGTTAGAAATAAGTCTCAGACAAAGTGAGCCTTGACATGCCCCTTCTCTCTTTCCTCCTCCTCCCCTCCAATTTCAGGCTAGTCAGGTCTCTGCATCAACTGTCCATTTAAATGCAGTTCTCTTGTCAACAGCACTATGAAATAAATTGGTTTTGAAAGAAGAAAAAAATTAGGTGGGCTTTCTAAAGACCAAGTAGAATTCACAGCCACTTAGCACGAACAGAGGGCCCTCCCTTGAATGGATATAGAAAGAAGGTTTAGCAACACAATAGGTAGGTACCTTTTAAAGTGCAGCTTTAACACAACAGGGGAGAGGTGTCTCGGATGAGACTGTGGCACCTTGTGAACTCTGCTAAAATAGATTAGTTGCTACAGGTTGAAATCTGTTTCCTGTTCAACCTGAAGGTTTTGCCTCCAACAAAAATGTTGCATAAATCTGAGGACAACAGTCTATAGAGAGACCCTAGTCTGTTTTCAGCAAATTCGGCCTGGGTCGGAATAGCTAGCAAACCTTCCTGTGTAAATTTTCGATTTAGATACACAAGTTCTTTCCTCCATTGAATGGAGAAGATAAGCTTTGCCAACTTAGTCTTATGGACATAAATTAAACTGACCGGAGCCATAGGAGCAGCTTTTGAGCCTCGTGTCCTAAAATGTCAAGAACTATAGGGAAAAATGTATACCTCAGAAGGGAGGTCTTTAAATAGCAGCGCTTTAAATACCCAGTCTGCGAACAGAAGAACGCCAACGGAGAATGCCTGGAGAAAGTTCTAAGCGGCATTTCTTAAAAGCTAAGGACATAGGGCTGTATCTGCTGGTGTCCTGCAATTTAAACTGTCCTTGGAGGATCCTGGGATTGACTGAACGAGGCTTGCTAGACAGAACCACCACAATCTTTCTCATTTTTTCCTTTGTCTCATTCCTCATCCTACATGTCTGTAAAGCTTGGAATCTGTTGCCTCGCACAACACAGACTCTGTCAGAAAAGGAGACTTTCTTTACCTAGTGACAGCCGATGACCTACTGAAGGGGATTGCAGTTCTTCTGTTATCATTAATCTGAAGTGGATTTGTGATGTGGGGGCAGGGAGTTTCTGATGAGTCTTTTCTGGGCTCTTGGCTAAGAAACTTAGTGGAAAACAGGGGGTCCTTTCACTAGTGCGTGAATTGCAAAGAAGCGACTCTTACCTTTTCTGAGATGAAATGAATAAGTCTCATTGAATGAACAAATTCTGGGGGCAAATGGTTCAAACACCTTATCCATTTCTGCTGCCATTCTAGCCTACCATCCACCATTCACTTTTTACCTAGTGATCGAGTGATATTTTTACAGCTGTAACATCTGATGTGCTGCACGTGTAATTGTATGCATGTGGAAAAGTGTGTGCTAGTTACAGTGCTCTTTTTTCATCTTCAGTTCTCTCATCTTCTCATCCACCAGCACTGAGTCGTGTGTTTTATTTTCAGTCCAGGAAATCAATTTGGATCTGATGCATCCTTTCATCAGGTAGACAGCTGCTGTGTTAGAAGATGGGTTTCTCACAATTTTGGAATGGAAAAGACTCCATTCATAGGATGATGAATTGCTTCCATTTCTGATCTCTTTGATTTTGCTTGTAACAGTTCCCAAATAAGTAAAATGTTGCAAATTTCTGTTTCCAAACTTACCAGCTTTGCGCATGCTCCGAGGACTGTTTGAAGATGGTTGATTTCAGCATTGACTTGAAATGGATGGAATTCTGTACTGCACTTTAGTGACCAAAAACTATGTAGATAAAGACCGAAGTTATCAGTTTGCTTTGGTTTATAAATAGTGTGGTAGTTTACAGTAGTCTACTAGTACTGTTTTGCTTTTTATTAGCTTGTTTTGGTTTGGGATTTTTTGGCTAAACAACCACTGCAGGGCTGATTTTAGCTTAGCTATTTCTTAAAGCGCTGGCCATGTAGATGACGTTCTGCTTAATTGTGTAATTTTCTCTCTAAAAGACCAAACTGAGGCACCAGTCCTATAAAAACCATGTTCACCTGGTCTCTAATTAGGAAAGATACTTATGCATAGGTGTAGCTCTCAGCACAAACGGTCCTATTAACTTCCACGTTTTCTTGAAGTCTAGTCTTTTGTCAGATGTGGCTCCTTTTTCTAACTAAATGGGAAATAGCTAAGCATCTACAAACTTGGTTTTGATAACATATGGAAACAGAAATGGTAGACTGTCCCAGGGCTTAAAGACCTGATCCTGCCTGTGAGACCCTCAGAGACTCAGGGTTTGCCCACAACAGTAAATGTCAGCATCAGGGCCCTTATTTACAGGTGAAAACAAACTGAGAGTCATTTCTCAAGTTGAAATGCTCATTAACATTTGCACAGCACCACCAAAATACTGGGTATCATTCTAAATGATTAACATTTCATATATATTATGAACTAGAAAAAAAGTGGTTCTTGTTAGGCACAATTGTTTCACCAAAAAACATCCTGTTACACTACTATAATCTACTAAAATAGATGCGCTTTGGAAATGGAGACCTGAGGGTTTTTGCGTGCGTGTGACCAAAGGATTGTACGTTGCCTATGAAATGCAACTGCTGTTGTAGCACTTTGGAGTGCTCCCATTTCATCGGTAGGCTGCAAGATGGAGTAGGGCTGGCACGTTTCTTTGATAACTCATTTGTAACCCTAACAAGTAATGTCTCGAATTCACTAATTAGAAAAAAATCCTAGTTGTTAAGAAATGGAACCATTGACCTTTGCCATTTCAAGGCCTTGTTTTCCAGAAGCCAATGCTCGCTTGTGAAGCAGAAACATTTCTCAGCGACCAATCTGAGTTGCATCATTCATTTTAACCCAAGCGTTTACTTTAGTTTGACTTGATGTTTAGAGAGGAAGATACCAGTTGGGAAGAAGCCTGTCAGTTTGTCAAGCCTACCCATGGCAGGTGGGGTGCGGAGGAGCTTCTCTGGTGATGACGAGTTGACTCCTCCTCCATATCGAACCCTTCCAGCCCAGACAGCCCCGGAGGCCTTCCAGCCTCCCAGGACTAGCCGAGAGTTCAGTCCCGGCCTCAAAACAGGTAACTAGCTGACAACAGTCTC